AACACACCCATGGATGCATTGTGAGCTCCCGTCTTGCCGCGAACGTACCATTAGCTACAAATCTTTCAGCCTCACTTAAAGACGACAGTAAAGATAAACTAAATTTCCCGGTATTTTTGTCTATCTGAATCTATTCGCGTGCATCTATCGGTAAGGTAATGGTCTGCCGCCCGACGCGATCCCCCGCGCAAGGTGATACGCCAGACCGTCTCCGAGCGTCTCGTACTAGCAGATATGAAATGGAGTTATTTATTTCTGTTACTGTTAAAAGAAGGTGGAGAACATATTTTGAGCATTTCTAGGAGCTTTGAAACTCTTGTCAGGTTTAAGGTGGTCGACGCGGCGCACTGATCTACCGAAGTCCGTTGTCGCTGAGAGCCATACACGAGTTTGAACTGGGCAGGTAATAAATATGCTCGGTATAAGCCTTCGGAAGGCGTTGTTGGCCTGTGCAGCCTCGGCTGTACTTGCACATAGTTTGGTGCACAGTTGCTCGGCGGCCACCGCCGGCGAGACTGCCCCTCCAAACACAACTCAAAATGGTTCGCAGGGACGGAGCTCCGTTGCAACTGCAGCAGAAAAGCCGCAGGAGCACGTTCCAGGACCATCGGGTTTTATTGAAGGTAAGAACCCCGCATCTCAGGTTGCTGCGTTGAACGGCGGGCACCGTTTGGAATCCCCTGGCTTCCTCGGGCCGTCTGGGGAACAGGTTGAAGCACCTCAGCCTCAGCATAGCTCTGCGGATCCAGCGCCATCTCCCCAGTTGCAATCCTCCGGCGCTCGTCCTTCCTCGGAAGCTGCACGGACCCGCATTCAAGCTGCTACACGACGCCGGCTGGAAGGCTCCCTCAAGAGGTTGATGGACGTACACGAGCTGCCCTCTAAGCGCACATCATCTCGCGGCATTTCTCCTCCTCGTCGCCTGCAGCTGCTGGCTGGAATCTCGCAGCTTGCCCAGCTGCCGCAACTTCCCACTTTACCGAATTTGCTTGGCAGCGGACTGAGCGCCCGTGACAGAGATCAGCTGGAAACCTTCTCTAGGAGGGTCGCTACGAGCAGAGAACGCGTCTATAAAGACTTGCTGTTCTCTACGGGAGGAAGGCAGCATGGGTTGGACGAGTTTGCAATGAAACAACTGGTGGCCAAAGTCGGACTCGAGAACTTGGCCTCTGGCAATGTCCCATCTTCCGCCCAGTTGTCTCATCAGGAATATCGTGTGCTGGACGCAGCACGGCGTAGCCACTTCAGCGTGGAGCGGATCATCGCAACATATGAAAGAGAGGTGGCTCAGCACATGAAGACCCTCCGCAATGCGCTGGAGGCCAACGTGAACAACCCAAGTATCCGTGCAAAAATAACATCAATTGCCTCTGATAATCTCTTCAGACGACCTAGAGATATAAGCGTTCGGCGGCTGCAGGGCTCTCCCCACAACAGAAAGCTTGCTGCTTTGTTGCAAGGGCCGGGCCTGCTAAGCACTGCGAGCTCCCTCATTCGTTCGATGGACCCTGCAAACCTCTCCCAGTCCCTCAGTGCAGGCTTAGGTGGGCTTGGGCTCCAGCATTTGCATCTTCCCAATATTGGAAACCTAGGTCTCCGTCAGGACGGCACTTCCCAGATGCAGCTTCCTATCACCGACCTCGGTGGACTTCAGCAGGCTCTTCAGTCTGTATTCCCGTTGCCTCAGCAGGTGACTGCTCTCTCGGGCCCACTCCGGTCTTTCCAGCAAGGCGTTGAGACAGCTACAGACGGCGCTATNAGGTGACTGCTCTCTCGGGCCCACTCCGGTCTTTCCAGCAAGGCGTTGAGACAGCTACAGACGGCGCTATTGCAGCGTTCCTCTCTAGAGAGGGACTGCTGCCCTTCTTGTCTGTAGATATGGCGAAGCAGCTCCTCGGTGGCCTTATAGGGGGAGAGGCAATTGGCTCTAATGGGTTAAGGGGTTGGGACGACCTGGGGCTATCTCCCGTTTCAGTCAATGGGCTTGCCGCAGTGATGCCTTTCGAGACGTTCCTCAACAAGTTTTCCGCTTTGGCGCATGAAGTTGATTCTGATGTGGGAGTAATGAAGAGAGAAGCCAGAAAACGCCTTGGCGCAGGAAGCTTCTCCATCCTCCCAGACCAACTGAGCCAAATCGACACTATCCTGGACCGACTTGTCTGGGGGACCCTGCGTGCACCCGTAAGGCGGCTGCAGCAGACAGACGAAACACAAGAGGTGACGCGTGATGTGCAGCCTCAACTGCAGGTTCCAGCTCAGCATATGACGCCTACCCCCTGGACACCTCTTCCACAGAATCCAACTGCAGAAAGCCAGAATCCAACTGTGCCAATCCAGCAGGCAGTACAACCAGGAGTAGCGCCAACTCATCCACTTCACCAAACGCCTCCCGATGGTCAAGTTGTCGAACCCAACCTGCCACCCCCACCCCNCCAACTCATCCACTTCACCAAACGCCTCCCGATGGTCAAGTTGTCGAACCCAACCTGCCACCCCCACCCCAAAGACCACCTCCAAAACCTGAGCAGCCGATTGCCTTGCCTGAGCAGCCCACCCCCTTGCCTGAGCAACCCACCATTGAGCCCCAGCAGCCTACGCCTGGGCCTGCACAGCCTACTCCCGAGCCTGAGCAGCCCACTGCAGAGCCCGAGCGGCCCATGTCCCAGCCTGAGCAGCCCGCTGTCGTGCCTGAGCAGCCTACCCCTGGGGCTGAGCAGCCCTTCCCTGGCCCTGAGCAGCCCTCCGCTGAGCCTGAGCAGCCTGCCCCTGAGCTTGAGGAGAAAGCACCAGTGGGGCAGGGGCCTGAAGACAACCTGCACCAGCAGGATCAGCAGAACGATGACAGCAGCGCCTCCATAGAGAATTTGCTGGGCACCCTGCTCAACGACGATCTCGAAGAAGGCGACTCTGAGGAGGAGATGAACGCGGCGCTGCAGCGGGTTGAGCTCTTGGCGGATGCTGTCACCGTGCTGCTGAAGGAGTACGAAAAAGCCGTGGAGCACCTACAGGACCTTCTAGACGACCAATTAGACGCTGCGGAAGAGATTCGAGAGGAGCTTGAGGAGCAAGTCGAGGAATTTAAGAATCAGGTGAAAGGCGAGCAGAGGCCAAAGAAGCAGGAAGCAGCAGCTGCCGCAGCAGAGGTGGCGAGGGCTTATGACGAGGCCATGCAGGGTTTCAAGACCTCCCTAGAGGCCCTCCTAGAGCAGCCACCGACAGACCAGCCCGCTTCTCCAGCAGTGCAGGAGGACCTCGCAGCTTTGGCTGCCAGAATTCAAGCTGCTGCTGAGGAAAAGCTGCCATCCCTTGTCTCCGCTCACTGAGAAGCCTCAGGGGCGTCCCAAGGGTGGCTAGTTGGAGCGCAGGTCTCCTAACTCCGGATTGCGTTTGTAGCTTAGTTTAAAGCATCTACAGCGTGCAGCGCATCAAGAGCGCTGTTTTCAGTGCGGGGACGCGTAAAAGGCGCAGGAACGCCTGTTGCCTTGGTTGTAAGAAAGGGCAGTCTTCGTTGTAGGGACTGCTCGACTCTCTAAGTGCTAAATCTGTGACTGGCCTGAATGCTCTGTGGAGAATGACGGCAGCAGGGGNCCTACAGCTAGACAGAGCAGCAAGTACAGCAGGAAGTTCCGTTGCCCCAACCCTCGTCACTAGGACTGACATCCTACTATGGCCGCATACATTAACCCTACGCGCGCACCCCGTACACGAACTGAAATACAAAGTGACCAAAAGACCACAAGAGCGTCAGTACTTAGCGTTTAAACGGTAGGCCTAACCAAAACCTTAAGCGCCGGCAGGGGCACTTCCGCCCCCAACGGATCCGAAGCCGCGATGAGGACCACCGCCCAAGTGGGGGCCTTGTTTTGCTGCTGCAGGCGCCTGGCCCTCTGCTTCTGTTGGTTCTGATGATCTTGCTGCGTCTCGCTGTGGTTAGGCGCAAATAATGCACTCCGCAGTGCCTCAGTGAGGCGTGTCCCCGGGTCTGGGAGCTTCTGCGGCTTATGCTCACCAAACATTGCCGCTATCTGAGGCCGCGATACTGCCTCCGGTTGCTGCTGCTGCAGCGTGTCGTTGTCTTTCGGAGCAGCGTAGAGGAGAGTTCTCTCGCAAGTTAGAGACAAGACACGGAGCCTCGTGTCCTTTTCTATGAGTTCCACCAAGTCAGAAATAGTAATTGTCTCCGCTGCTTCTGCCTCCCCTGGAACCGCTCCTTGTCCTTTATGCTGATGGGAGCTACTGCTGAAACCACCGCCGCGCAGTCGCAGGCGGAAGAAGTGCCATGGAGAGAAAGGCTGTCCCCGCCAGCGACCTATAACGAATCGATGCATTGGAGGAGGCAACGGCGGAGCCTCCGCCAGAAAGGGCACTGATAGCGAAAAGAAGCTGTTGCGCAAGGCATGTTGCTGCTGCTTCATTGCAGCTTGCCGATTTCGGCGGTCGCCCCTGTCTAGCCATAGCACGGGGGACCCTCTCCCCGTTGGCTTGACGATCTGTCCGCGTTGCATCTGCTGCTGCTGCTGCTCCCGACGCTGCATACGTTGGCCCGAAGGCGCACCTGCAAGCCCCATAGCTACCAGTCTATACACTTCAAGGCAGGCAAGCGCAGCCGCAAGTGTCGTTGCCGTAGCAGTTGCAGGAACAATCCTGCCTATCAGCTGCTGAGTCTCTTCAGGGCCCGGGAGAGGTTTCAGTCCAAATGCTCTGCAACGAAGCCGCGCAGCGGAAGTCAGAAATCGGAGGGGCACAGCGCTGTCTGCGGAGAGTGACAATACTGCAGGGGCCCCGAAGAGTCTCAAGTCTAGCTCCGTCGGCGCGGTTGCCGCTGCCGCCGTTGCTGTTGCCGCAACTTCTCGCACCAACTCCTCAGCAAGTGCAGAGAGACTAACGGCGGTAGGCTCTGAGCCGGCCCCGGTCAGCCCTGAATCTCCAGCTTCGCTGCATGCGGCCTTCGGTAGCAAACGCTGCAAGCCTTTAGCAACGCATTGGCGGCTCCAAGGGCCCAAGCCCTTTCCTTGCAGCAGCAACTCTTCCGCTTGTTCCTGCTGCAAAATAGAAGTAGATCGTTGATTTGCAGAGTCTAATGCACACGCTCCCTTCGCAGCGGGTCTTAGGCCGAGGCTTGCAGCAAGCAGTTGCGCAGTAGCAGCAACAAAGTCGATAGCATCTGCATCTGTAGGATCCAGNCCTTCTCACGTGCGGCGCTGGGAGCTGCTACTGTTGGGTTTCCTTGCGTTGGCCCCTCGACAGCTTTCTTCTGGAATAAAACACTAAAAAAAAATGCTGCAAAAGACAGAAGCCTGAGGTGGGTTGCTGACAAAGGAGACACTTCGCCTCCACTGTCGCCACTGTCGCCATGCTCATCATGTTTCCCCCGATGTTCGTGATGTTGCTGCAGACGCTCGGAAGCCTGGTGCCCCCGAATCGTGCCACGCTGCGCTTTCAGTACCTCCCCTGCAAGCCGCAGGAGCAGTCGCAGCCGCTGCGGCCCTGCTGCTGCAGCAGCCACAGCAGCAGGCGCCATGCCCAACATGCGAAGCGCTGCCTGGACATCATCTGAAGCGTCAAAGGTAGAGGAATGCGCTGCTGCTGTTCGTGGTGGAGCAACTCTCCCGTATGTCTGCTGTTCTGCAGACGCCCTCTGAGGCAACTGCATCTGCTGTTGGAGCAGCTGCTGCAGCAGTATATGGGCGGCTGCGATGTCGGTTTTGAAGGTTTGTTGCAGCTGAGCCGATGCCCAGTGCACTGCGTGGAGAGGGGCAGTGGGGGCTCCCCGCACGGAACAAACGGGGACAGCCGTCAGGGACTGGGCTGTTGGCGAAGCATTGACAGCACCGCCTCGTACTGCTGCGGCGTAGTGCTCCGTTAGGTACGGTACCAGGCTCTGAGAATGGCCTGCAGAGACACCGCAGCAGCCGCAACCACGAAGAACATAGCTGCACTGATTGCTACGTAGTTCGCTGCATGAGCCATCTAGAGCCAAACAGGAGCAAGCGAATGCATGCACAGAAGCTCGTGGACGATAAGAGGAAGGGCCTCGCGAGAAAAAGGCAGAAGGAAGATTTGTCAGTGCACAGGAACGAAGAAGGCGGCTGAGCCCCAGACAAAACGATACATACGGCACGGGACAAACTGCAAGCAGCAAAACCCAGAAACAGAACAACAATCAATTGAGGACAGAGAATGTAGGGGAGTCGAGCAGAAGCTACGGCAAGCAGTTGTAAGCAGCATGAAGAGGAGTATCTGACAGAGGGACAGCTGCAAACCTCTAAGACCGAGGGTGCCGGCTTCCACCCAGGGCTTCGAGTGGAGCAGACAAAGCGCGTCCACGTAAAGACGAGCCTCCACTGAATCCAAGGCGGCCACGACCAAGTCCTGCTCCTGTATGTACATTGGGGGGAGGCGCCAAAGGGTCTCCGGCGAGAGCTGCAAACTCGCAGCAAGCAAAAGCAAGAGGAAGTCTCAACTTGGCAGCATTCATAGCATCCTAAAAAAACGGCAAGAGAAAAGCTCGGCAGCAGCAGAGGGGAGCAGCAGAAACAGAAGCAACTTTCTCGACTACGTGAATCTTAGGGCGCTGCAACTGTGGACTGCTGCCTCCGCCCCCCGCCAGAGTGGGCCCGATAAAAAAGACAGGAAATGCTGGGGTGCCGCATCAGCAGCTACAATGGGCCGGCTAACTAGAGAGAGACAGTAACTAGAGAAATAACGAACAAGGCGTTGGTGCTCGACATTCGAAGCAGACAGCACCCTCAGCGAGAGGAACCGTGC